GAGAAGTGAATAGGCGAATGTGAGACTAAGAGAGAGAGTGATAGATGGGTAGAGATACGAGTCCAGAGTCCTATCTCGAATGAGACTCGTATTAAATTTTTTGGGCAAAAAAAAAATTAGAGATTAATTAGGATCGTCAGATCAATAATACTGAATCGATCTGAACTGCGAAAAGCTCAAGATAAACCAAACTAACTATTTTATTATATAGATATAATGATAAAATATGTATTTATATTTTTAAAAAAATTAAAAATAAAAATTTAATTTAAAATTTTAATTTTTTTTCCTATCTTACCATGAACAAAAAAAATTAATCATTTTTATTTTTCATCTATCTTACCAAATACAAAAAAATGAAATTGTATCATTCCTTATTTCCTTCATATTTTTCATCCTTTTGACTTTCTATGATTCCTGTCAAATAAAACATTACTCTTGTTTAGTTCAAAAATACTCCCACAAGAGTCAATGGTTGCACAGGATACTTATAGAGCCAGATAGGTGGTATTTTGAGTTGGAAAAAATTAGATGCAAATAAAATAAACGATAAGGTGGGGCGCAGACTAGATCATTCTCTTAAAACGATTTGCACCTCTTTATGAAAGAATCATAGCGCAAGAGGTAGTAACCTTTGAATATTACCCAGAAACTTATATAGTAAGAAGAGATAGTTGATATGATATATATGTGTCTGTACCGAAAATATGTATATATATATATATATATACTAGCCGTTGGTCCAATGGTATTCTTAATCTTTTGAATGTTTTACTTTCTTAAGGTCAATGGTTCAAGTCTCCCCTCGCCTCAAAAAAAAAAAAAAAAAGAATACTAGCCGTTTGAGGATTTTGGTATTCAGCAACTGAAATTTTAATATAAAAGTAATGACAGAAAATAATAAAAAAAAATATTAATATGGTTTAATACTAGTTAATATTCTATTTGATTTAGGCGAGTCAGGGGAACCCATTACTTGGGTCGTGGACTAGGCACACCAGTGTGGTTCGTAAATTCTAAAAAATGATCACGTGATTGCTAGTTCCACTCTGGCGGCGCACGTGAGAGTTTCAAGATCTCTATTTAACTCAAAGGCTAGATAACACTAGTATATATATATATATATATACTCAAGTTCTTTTGGATATTTAGTCGATTTGGAATTGAGTTCTCACAAATAAAAAATATTTTTTTAGTTAAAATATTCTAACACGTATAACTTAAGAAATTGTCAAATTTGGCCAAAAATCATTATGAGCATAATTGAAACAACAAAAAAATTTCAAAGGAAGATGGTGCTCTTTTTAAAAGAATAATATTATTTAGACCTAAAAATTTGACATAATTTACTAATATAAATTGGATCAATACCAAATTTTAATATTTGATGGGATTTATAGTAAATTCAAAGGTTACAAAGAATTTGATCAATAAATTATATCAGTAAATTAGATCCCAATAACATTACTCTTTTCTTAAATTTTAGGAGGTATATTTTTGAACCACGTATTTTGATATTGATATATTAACCCATAATGGGTGGTAGTTATGATTATTGTGTGTGGGATTGAGATTGATGAGAAAAAGTCGAAAGCCATAGGGTGACTAAATAAATAATTAGCTTAAATATTGGCATTTTGGGTAATATTTTTTATTGTTAAAAGGATAATATATTAAAATTTTGATAAATTTTTTGGAGATAATTGTACTAATTTTAAAATAACAGTAGGAGTCTTTATATTTTATTTCTATTTTATAGTTTATTTTATTTTTTTGAAAAAATTTCAACCACACCCCTGTCAGATTAAAAATATTAGTAGAATATAATTTTACTAAATTGTTCATGATATATTTGAGGATAAACTTCATCCACACCTCCTCTTGATAAACATATCTTCAATGAGACCCCCTCTAGATAAGTATATTTTTAATGAGACCTCCTCTGTCTTCTAATTTTTTTACGTTATCAAATTCGAACCGATTAAAATTCGATTCAAGTTAATTAAAATTTATTTTTTTACATATTAAAATTTGTGCCAATTAAAAATTATATTTTTTGTACGTATTAAAATTTTGTTTGAGTCAATTAAAAATTATTTTTAATCAATTCACACCAAATTTTAATCATCCCAAATTTTAATATATAAAAATATATGAATTTTAATTGACAAAAATTTTAAGAAGTAAAAAAAAAAATTTAATCAACTCAAAAGAGAATTTTAATCGGTGCTAATAACTCGGGTAGAGTTCAAATTGACTAAAATTTTAATAGGCTCAATTTTTTTAAAAAAATTTATGAAATTAGTAAATAAAAAATTAGTATTTACTAACAAATTATTTACTAAAATTGTTATTCACAATTTTTTTTTAAAATTTTAATAGCTCGAATTTTAATAAAATTTTATGTAAAAAAATTACTTGAGGTTATGTAGGGGCATTTTTGGTATTTTAGATGAATTGTTTTTGTTAGAAATGATAGTTTAATGGTAGGGGGTGTTAGTGATGTTTAAATTAAACTAGAAGGGTGTCGTTGAAGATTCAAAAACTAGAGGGGGTCTTGTTGAAATTTTTCCTATTTTTTTTGTTTCAATAGTGAAGGGTGTTCACGCCAATTTACGCATATTTCAACTAATCCTTCACTCGATCTAATTAAAGGCATATCATTCACTTCAGAACTAGAATATTCATAAGAGTTCAAAAAATTATTAATATTAGAAATTAAGATATCTGAATTTACAACTCATCCTTACAATTACCATTTCTATTATACTATTTTGCCCTTTTAAATGTTAAAAACATATTAATTTCTACATTTTTGTCAAAAGTGTGGCAATTTACCCAACAAGTGGTGGTGTGTGACACATGATTTTTGAAAAAAAAAAAAAAGATTATAATGTCACTTTTCTCCTTTATATTGTTCAACATTACAATTTGCCCCCATTCAATTACAATTATCTCAACACATTAAAGTAGCACACGACTTTTCAACTTACCAAAAATATGATGTCGTTTATTACTTAGAAAACAGTACTACACTTTTAAGAAATTAAAGAGTCAAATGAGAGACTTCTTAACTTCGACAGGGTTATGACAAAAAAAAAATTCGAAGGTAAAAATGTATATTTAAAAATCCCTAAGAGAACAAAGTACCATTAATCATTGGAAAAATTATTAATAAGTATTACTTTTTTTTTTTAAATATTGATTAAGCTCCATCATTTTTATTTTATATCAATAAATTTCTATTTTTAATGTCATTATATTTCAATTTTATCTTTACCAAAATAGTAAAACCCTTTCATTCTTTTAGGTATGTCAAAACTCGACACGGCTTTAAAATTACTATTTGTTCTTTTGCTCAACAATGATAACGTGTTTTTTTGTGTGGAAATTATGGATTGAAAATCTTTTTTGTCATTTTCTTCTCATTTTTTGTTTATTGAAAAATTATTAGAGCTAAGAAATACACCATTATTGTGTATCAACTATTATTTAATTAAATTTTATGTGTTTTTTGGTCAGAATAGATTAGTTGTCATCCCTTTTTTGGTATGAATTAATTCACTTATTTTTTTCTATAACAAATGTTGAATTTTTACAGACACATGGTTGTTCAATTTTTATTTAAGTAATAATATTTATTTCATTCACAATTCTAATAACACAAAGAACATGAGTTCTCTTTGTGAAATTTTTCTCCATCGACAACGTATAAGTTTCAAAGTCTTCTATTGCATCTCATAATAACAATTCCAAAAATTAGTAATAATTAATTTTTATAAAACTAACAAATTTGCAATACATAATTTAAAGCACAAGAGTTTAGAATATGTACAAATAGAAAAAAAACTAATGTTATATCTGCAATATTACAGGTATCAATATTTGTCAAGAGAAAAATAAAATTACAACAAAATATAATATATAGGCAATTTAAAACTTCATTCAAAAAAATTATCAAAAGTAGAATTTTATTGATATAAAATAAAGGGTTAATTGCAAGTCGCACCCCAAAAGATAGTTTGAATTTCAATTTAAACTCCCAAAAATCAAAAATCTCAATTTACACCATAAAAATAGAAATATATATCAATGTACACCTAAAACTAAATTAATAAATTATATTTACATTCCTTCATACTTATCACTTAATCATTTGAATCTCTTCACATTTAAAATATTACTCCTACATCTCATGACGTTTGTACACGTGTAATACATAACCCATTTTTGTTGATATATATTAATATAACCGTTAAAAAATATAATTTTATGCTAATAAAAAATTATAATTTTATATTACTTTTTTTTGTAGGTTTGATATGTTCTAAAATTCAAAATCAAACTTACCATTTCAATATCTAATAGAATGTAAATATTTATATAATAATTTTTATATCCAATGCAATATATTACTCAATATGCGATCCTTTATTGTATTAGACATCACATGATAAGTTTAATTTTAAATTTTAGAATATATTAAACTCATAAAATAAAGAATAATATAAAATTATAATTTTTTAATTAAGATAAAATCATATTTTTTAATTATTATATTAACATATATCAACTAAAAAGAATTACGTTTTACACGTACACAAACACCATGAGATATAAGAAGAATAATATTCTAAGTATAAAAAGATTTAAATAATTAAATAACAAACATAAAAATATTTAAATATAATTTTGGATACACATTAATACAAATTTCTATTTTTAAAAATACAAATTGAAATTCAAATAATTTTTTAGAATGCAATTTACAATTAATCCTAAAATAAATAAAAATAATAGTACTTAAATGAAAGTTTTGTGGACAAAATAATACTTATTAATAATTTTTCTTAATGATATCATCCTGCTGGGTGTAATTTTTCACACCCAATTTTACCAAATTGTACAACCCATACTTATTATGAAAATCAATCAACAAGTGCAAAATAATGAACACCCACCTGTAACACAAATTCCTCATAATCCGTAAAAAGATGAACGGGAAATTGAGGGAAAAAAAAAACTACAATTTAAGAGACCAGAATGAATAGAGAAAGAATTGAATCCACAAGTGCTAACCATTGTTTGTTCATATATGCGTTTACAAAGATTTGAATTGGAACCTTAAAATCTATAGACAAAATTCTTCCAAAACGAACCCAAAGACAAAACAACGACCATATTTCCAACCTCCATACTTCTAAGATTATTAATACTGACCATCAACAAAACCCTAAAACTCCTGAGACACAGAACCGATCTCAGACTTCCCTTTACCAGTTTTCTTCGGCAGTAAATTCTGATGAATGTTGGGCAAAACACCTCCATTTGCTATGGTCACAGAGCCCAACAGCTTGCAAAACTCCTCGTCGTTCCTTACAGCCAGCTGAATGTGCCTCGGAATGATTCTATTCTTCTTGTTATCCCTCGCAGCATTCCCAGCAAGCTCCAAGATCTAAAACCCAACAAAAAAATTTAACAAATCAAACGCATAATTTCTTGGAAAAACTTGCAGAAAAAACGGATAAGGCAAGAGAAAGCTAAAAATGTACGAACCTCAGCAGCAAGATATTCAAGAACAGCAGAAAGATAGACGGGTGAACCAGACCCAAGTCGTTCTGCATAGCGGCCTTTCTTGAGGAAGCGAGCGATTCGGCCAACCGGGAACTGGAGACCGGCCTTTTGGGATCTAGACACCGATTTTGTGGTTCTGGGCTTGCCTCGACCGCCCAAAGATTTAGTTGCTGCTGGTGAGCTCATGGCTATGGTGGAATTGTTTTATGAAGACTTGGAAATCTGAATAAACAGAGTGAGGATTTGGGTTTTAGTGCCTATGGGATTTTGAATCGAGAGAAAGATGAAGCGATTGGATTTATTTATATAGAGAAAATTTTCAGAGATGTGTCGCGTTTGATTGGTTGGCTTGGCATTCACGCGGATTGCTGACGTGTTCGTATTACTCTATTAATCTTCTCTCCTTCGTGTCATTGTTTTATTGGTAAGTTTGGATTCACGAGGATCGCCAACGCGGCTCCATATTTTCATCGCGCGGGAATAAATTATTTTGGAATTTTTAATTTTTCTCTCATCTGAAGGCTAAAAAGGGCCAAGTAGTTTTGGGCCTACACCGAATCTTTAATTAGCTGGGCCTTCATTGCGGGCTTTGTTACCTTCCAAAGTTAAAGCCCATAATTTCTTAGCTTGAAACCCAATCATATTTGCTATCCTTAACCTAACATTGGCCTGAAGGAAGATACCTTAAAATTGCTATCGAGCCAGCCCATAACCTTCTACTCTTGTTCATAAACTTTATGTAGCAGTTAGTTAACCCAATCTTCTTTTCTTGATTGAGAACTGTTTTATTGTGCAAATCTAAACTCAAAATTTCCATCGCAAGTACACTTGGGGTCTCAAAAAGTCAATATTTTCATTAAATATGTTGTACAAATGCAATTGAGATTTCTTCTTCGTAAGTTTCATGCTTGTAACAGTTGAAAGCGTACGCATTTATATTTTTTTTTTTATCGCAGCTCAGACTCGTATAAAATGTACAAAATGTCATCTTTTCACTAACCTTATCTCACCCCTTTTCCATCTCATCCTATACTTCCCATTATAAGAGACATGATGAAATATAATTAGATTTTTTCTTTTTTCATTTGTAATTGATCTATTCAAAAATTTAATAAGTTAAAAACATAGATAGGAAGGGTTTCTTTAATCATTTTCCATCTAGCCACACATTTCTTGGAATGGCAGTTGCTACGTAAATTTGAGATATAAACAATAAGCATCATATCAACTTGGACACAACCACAAGGGTCAGTCCAATTGTTAATATAAACGAGCTGTAAATTTAAATATTTTGAGTTCAAATTTTGACAATTTTTTTAAACCAGATCATGAGAGATTATCTCTCATGAATACTCTATTCCACCTAGATGTTCTATTTTTAAGTTTCAAAATATGTTTAAATTAGTTTGAACATTTCTAACTGTTGAAAAAAAAAACATTAAACTTGACACGCTTCACACTTACGAACCCAAGATGTTGATGTATCAACCTCCCGAATGATACCATCCTCACTACCCAACAGATTGAGCCTTTTGCATATTGACGTTGGCGCAAGAACAGATCTATTGTATTAAAAATCTAGATTATTTTACTTGGACCAAAAAAAAAAACATTGAACTTGACATGCTTCACACTTACAAACCCGAAATGTTGATGTATCAACCTCCCGAATGATACCATCCTCACTACCCAACAGATTGAACCTTTTGCATATTGACGTTGGCGCAAGAAAAGATCTATTGTATTAAAAATCTAGATTATTTTACTTGGACCAAAAAAAAAACACATTGAACTTGACACGCTTCACACTTACAAACCCGAGATGTTGATGTATCAACCTCCCGAATGATACCATCCTCACTACCCAACAGATTGAGCCTTTTGCATATTGACGTTAGCGTAAGAACAGATCTATTGTATTAAAAACCTAGATTATTTTACTCGGACCAAAAAAAAAAAACATTGAAGTTGACACGCTTTCACACTCACAAACCCGAGATGTTGATGTATCAACCTCCCGAATGATACCATCCTCACTACCCAACAGATTGAGCCTTTTGCATATTGACGTTGGCGCAAGAACAGATATATTGTATTAAAAACCTAGATTATTTTACTCAGACCAAAAAAAAAACATTTATATTTCTTTTTTCTTCATAATTTTCATGCTTGGAATGGTTGAAAGCGTATACATTTATATTTTTTTGTCATCTTGGCCCTGACTCGTATGGGACGTACAAAATGTCATCCTTTCACTAACCTTTTTCTCACCCTTTTTCCATCTCATCCTTTACTTCCTACTATAAGAGACACATGAAAAAATATAATTAAAATTTTGTTTTTCTTTCGTAATTGATTTATTCAAAAATTTAAGAAGTTAAAAACATGGAGAGGAAAGGCTTCTCTATAATCGTTTTCTGTCAAGCCATACATTTCTTGTAATGACAGTTGCTACGTAAATTTAAGATACAAACAATAAAAACATCATTATTTTAGATTATTTTACTCGGATCAAAAAAAAAAAAAAATATTAATGCAATTGATCAAGAATCACCTTCTACAAGTACTTGCTTCTAAAAAGATACTCTGGCCCTGAAAGGAACTAACAGAGAAGCTCACAAAAAATAAAATACAATACAATAAGGAAATGAAAAAAAAAACCAAATGGAATAATACTATAGTGTTTTTGTTCATCAGGCTTCTTTCACTGGTTCAACTTCAACTCGACACTCTGGGTCACCGAAAGAAACCCTAACCATTTTATATTTCGCATTTACTTGATATTAATATTTTCCCCCAAAAGAAATTGATATTTGGCCCAATGAACTAATTAATTTAGTCCATTACACAAGGAAAAAGCTGATCAAATTAGTTAGCATATGAAGGTCGAAACTGTTGAATATTAGGTTTGTTTAGCATTTTGAATGTGACACTTTGATCATGTTCTAAACATTACTTTTAATGACTCAAAATTGTAAGCTTAAAAGAATTTCTTGAGATGATCAAGGATAGATTTTACCAATACAAGTCCTATTATTATTTTTAGTTCAACGGTCAAGAGTGTTTAAATCAGTTTACGTACACCATAATTATTTTTTTTGTCATTTAGGTCAAAGGCAATCCATCAACGCCAAAACTAGAATATTCATGAAAAATAAATTTATCGTGATCTGACTCTAAAAAATTGCTTAGATTCGAAGGTCCGAGTAAACCAAACTAGTCTAACTTACACAAATTTACGTGGTCAAAAGAAAAATAATAGGAAGAAAAAAAAATCAAAGATGGGTTTAACTAGGTCATTTTGCATAATTTTCTCTCTCCCGGTACCCCTTTCTCTAAACTCTACTTGTCAATAAATTGAATTTTCATCTTAATTAACCACAAAATGTATCCTAATTAATAGTTTTAACCACTTATCCAAATATTTTATATTTCGTATATTTGAATTTAGTTGGGTATACAAAATTTTGATTTGACAACAATCCAATCCAAATTATACTTAATATAAAATAATATACGATAAAATTGAGTGATTATTTAATTGGTTAAAACTTAAAATTGATTTATTCTGATGACATCGGGTATCCGATTTTTCAATTAAATTTGAATGGAATTGTTTTATGAACTCTCGATGTAGCTGATAACATATAAATCAAAATAGATGGTCTGCCCTGATTTATAAATCAAAATGCTGACTTGGAGATGCTTTTTTTGGAAAGTGATTTGGAGATGCAAAAGGTAATATCTCTCAATCTTTATGAGGAGTTTTAATTGGTATTATCAGAAGTAAACCAAACCGGTCAATCGAACTTGTGAACTGGATTCTAAACTGGTCCGATTTACTTAAAAGGCCACATGTGCATTCGAACCGCCGGAGAATTGCCAAACCATTTGATCAGCACTAGAAATTACTTTTTGTCAGGAAAAAAAAAAACTCAATTCATTTCCTGGGCTTCTAAATCTTAAACCTCATAATACATGGCACTGAACAGAAGATTTGGGGGTTAAACAGATCCCCTGAATTTGGATGAACAATTTCCTTGCAGGGGAACCTAACCAATTCTCTCTCTCTCTCCCCCCTAAACCAAGAAAAGCCATCCACATTATATGAACAAAAATCCGAATATTATATACAAATTTCTCGATTAAGCCATAAATTCCAAAACACATGATCTGTTCGTCGATTCAAGCTATTTCTTCCTCCAGACGAAAAGAAGTTACAAGAGAAGGATGGTTCTTGAAACAATCCAAATCAGAAAGAACCTTACCTTTGAGACCCTTCACATTAGCTCTAGCCCCACTAGCCACCAGATACAGTGCAACCTGCAGATGACCGGCCTCAACGGCCCGATGGAACGCCGTGTAGCCGGCATCGTCAACGAGATCAATCTGAGCCCCCTGATCCAGCAAAAGCTTTATACTCTCCAACCCACCTTTGAATGCAGCTCTGTGCAAAGGGGTCCAACCGTTCTGATCTCTACTGTTAACCTTCGCCCCTTCTGCGATACAACTTTTCATCCCAGTTACATCATTCAATCTCGCAGCTCTATGCAAAACATCATTCAGATGTAACAAATCGTATAAATTTGAGTAACCCTTATCGACTGCAATGGTGAAGGCGGTTTTTCCTTCTCTTGTTAGTGCATATTTCACATAGGTTGAATTGTTCAACAAGAAATCAACCGCTTCAAAATGGCCTTCAGACGAAGCGAAATGAAGGGGAGTCCACCCATTAGAGTCTACAACAGTAGGATCACTTCCCACCCCAACAAGAAATCGAAGAACTTCAACATGTCCGTTAATTGCAGCAACATGAAGAGCAGTTCGACCATGATCATCGACTGAGTTCAATTCAATATCTACGTAACCCAAACACAAAATCTCCATTAAATCAACTCTATTCATGGCTGCTGCATCGTGTAAAAGCCGATCAGCTGAATTCTCCATTATATAACCTGACTCGATCAAGAGTTGAACAACATCGATATTTCCAGATTGAACGGCTAATGACATCACCGACGGCGAGCCCGATTCCTTACCATTTACATCAGCACCAGCCTCAATCAAAGCTGAAACTAAGTGAGAGTTTCCTTTTCTGGCAGCAGATCTGAGCAACGAGGTGAGCTGAGATTTGTCACACCAAGAAATTGCTTTGGGTAAAAGAAAAGCGATTTCCAAGCTCTTGTAAGAGGAAGATAGAAGGAACTCGACGACATGAGGACCTACAAAGGAGATGGGGATGGTGGCGTCCTTGAAGATATGTGGACCTGGTCTCGAAAACAAGCGGCGAAGATCATCCTGATGTGCTTTGCCTGTAGGAAGCATACATGTTCGGACGAGGACGGTGTCTAGCGGGGAGGAGAGAGGTGGCTGATCAGATGGCTGAGATAAGAGGAGAGTGAATGATGAAGTAGAGAGAGGTGGGATGATAGAAAGAGATTGTACGAAGGAGAAGATGGATGGATTGGATGAGGTGAGAGAAACGGCTACAGACATGGTGTGCATGAGATTGGTTAACCTAAAAGTGGTAGAGCACTTATGGCCTTTGGAGAAGCTTAGATTCACTTCCTTCACGTCTGCCTTCACCAGTCTGTCCATGGCCTTTCTGTGGACAAACTGTAAACTGGGTTATTTGATCAAAGAAATGGAAGATGGAGATGAATCAATGGGGATGGTGATCTTTTAACTTTGTTAATAGGCTTGGTTTGATCAGGGAAATGGAAGAGGAAAATGAATGAAGATGGTGATGGGGTGATGTTTTAACTTTATTAAATCATATTACATTACTTTATGTTAGTTGGGTTGGTTAGTTATACGAGTAAGGTTACACTGATCAAATTTTGGGATTAAATTTTTAATACTAATGCTATTGAGACATAATTTAAGGATATAATGAATTGTCACAAATGAAATGATAGTGAAATGTATTTAATGATGAGTTCCATTGTAACATTAATGAATTCATTATCATATCATTGGTGACAATTCATTATGTCCTCAAATTATGTTTATAAATTATGTCTCAATAGTATTGCTCTAAATTTAAAATTCAAATGACATAACAGTGTATTATTTAAAATTTTTATTGGGTCCTAAATGACAAGACATCAAATAAAAAAATTTAAGTCAACTGCATTGTCATTTGAGCTATAAATTTAATTCTAAAATTTGTTCAGTATTACATTAATATAGTTTATATATATTTTTTTAGTAGTTTTATATTTTTGGTTTAGATGGATGGCGGAGATTGTGGCTTTGAATGTAAGAGGGAGAGAGGGAGTCATTGTTCGCGTGTTTGACTTTCGGTTGGAGACCTTTTTCTGACGCCAGGGAATCAAGCTGGACGGACGAGTAGACACAAAAGTTCATTGAACAAAGATATCAACAAAAGCCACAAAATTGTTGACGAGATCACTTTCAATTTTTTATTTTTGGGCTAATAGAATAATAATCGGTGGGTAATTGTGAATTTAAAAGACGTATAATTAGAGTATTTTTTTTATTTATCAAAAAAGTATTATTCTTGGTGAATATTACTGGGAAATGATATAAACCCACATTGACCCTTAGCTTTTGTTGGGCTTTTTAGTTTTTTTTTTTTGCTAAATTGCAACAGGGATAAATTGATCATTTTTTCTTATAACTTACAGTTGAGATATTTAAAAAAAAAAAAAAATCTACGGCTTTCATGTTAAACATCATATGCGGGATAATTTTTAATATCTTCATTTTTTTGATTACATCATTCAAAATTTATTTTTACCCATTATTTTCTTACAAATATTGATAAAATTTTCTCAAAATATGTAATTCAATAAATATTTCTCAACATATGTATACTATTGGATATAAATAATGTCTGAAATAAAAATTATGTTAAATAATAAATTAATTAAATATTAAATGATTAAACATATGATAAAAATTAGTGATGTGATCATTTTAGGGAAAAAAATGTATAGAAGATAAAATTTAACTTCTCCTATGTTTTATTATATAAATTTTTGTTTGTTTTACTAATGTCAATTATAATAGTATAATCTCATAAAATAGTTCAAATAGTAACAAAGATAAACTAAAAACTCTTGAGCCTAAATCTTGACAATTCCTTGAAACCAGACTATGAATAATTTATTCCTCTCATGAATACCCTAATTCTAACGTGGATAGTCTGTCTTTGACCCGACTAGAAAGGGGATTAATCGAAGTGTACATAAGATAATTTAAACACTCCTAACGGTTGAATAAAAAAAAATAATAATAATAACAGTATAATTTTCCAGTGCGTTGTTGTAGGTGGGATCCTTTTGATTGGCATCCAAGTTATGAGTGAAAATTAGGTCACACTTATTAAAAAGAATTTTGGTAACCAATTGCATGTTACACTCAGAATTGTAGGAGTAATGATACAAAAGTTTAAAAAATAAACTTAAAAATTAAAATTAAACTTAAAAAATTTATTTTTTAAGTCCATGTAATGTTGATTTAATAAGAAAAATCCTTGGTCTACAAAGTCAAATAAACTATTCCGCGTACCTGATGGAATAAAGATTGAACGACTTGTAAAGTCATTTGATGCTGGGATTATGCATATTGATTTAGGGTCAGCATCCGATAGGTTACAACAGTCAATGGATTTTGTATATACCCAAATTCCACCTAGAAATATTTGTGTTCAAATTAGATTTATGACTAATTATTGTCAAGTTAATTTTGCTGGGAATAAGTTTCCATGTTCTATGTTTGGTAAGCATTTTCTGAATGCTGTTTCGAAGGACCTATTCAAACAGCATTTGGGTCAATTTTTTAGTAACAATTTGACTTAGGTACCCCCCAAAAAAAAAATTCCATGTCTTACAAATATTTATTACTTTTGTGAATTTTTTTAACACCGTTGTAGGTAAGTGTTTTTATCACTTTTGTAATACCAAAAAAAATGAAAAATACTACATAACCTAAATAAAACTCAAAAGTTAAAATTCAAATGTATATCATCATTTGGATGAGTGTGAGAAGAGTAGGCTCTACTGAAAAAAATGATACAATCCATTCATCTAAGGAATAATATGCATTTGAATTACAATATTTTTGATTTTATTTGAGTTTTGTAGTATTGTTAAAAAAAAATACTTCATCCGTTCCTAAATGTCTGTCGTTTAAGATTTTTGTACAAGAATTAAAGAAACTATTAAATAGTTCTAATATGAGTAAAAAATAATTACACAAGACTAAAATACTCTTATTAAATACGTATTGGAAAGTAAAGGAATATGAAAGACACTTAGCCTACATTTAATCTATTAGACACTTATTGAAAAACAGAGATAATGGTAAATTTGGAAAAAAAAATATTTATTATTATGTTTTGATTTTATAAAACGACACATTTAAAAACGGAGGAAGTATCTTATAACACATGTAAAATTATCTTCTTTTAAAATTTTATACTAATTTTTACAATGAATGAAACAAAAATTTACGACCACAAATTAATTTCACTACAATGTCGAATTTTTTTTGTTTGGCATTATCGAACGCAGCCCATGTCCTCATTTTAGAACTGTTCTTTGATGGGATTCTCTTTTTTCACTGGAGCCAGAAAGATCTTTCAGAGACCAGGCATTCCAAACACTAGGAAAACTACATTGACTGGTTCTCAATCTTGGACTAATTGGCTGTAGGTGGTCGCCAATAAGTTTCAGGGTGTGGACATCCATTGTCATGTTGTCTCGGATTCGATTCGTTGCTATGCACCTTCTTAGAATTTCAACAAGGAATCAAACTATCCATTAATAGGATACACGTGGCTGCTCCATCTGCAGACTATTGAACTTTTTCCATTCTTTCAATTTTTAAACACAAAAAAAAAAAAAAAGTAATATTTCCTACTTTCTATTGAAAAAAGAAAAGATTTTTCTCTTAAAAAATAGAAAATATATTACTTTCACTTTTCATTCTTCCATTTTCAATCTACGCTACCAAACATACCTTTAGGACGAAAATATCAAAGTATCTAATGAGTGGTTGTACAAATGCAAGCACAAATTAAAGCAACGGGAATTTCTACCTGCAAACCGCCGCCCACCCCAGCAAAACCAAAGAAAGTAAGCTAAAATCAGTGATGGAGAAGAGAGAATTAAAAATATAACATATAAATTAACAAAAAGAATGAGAACAATTATGGTGAGGGAAAATATTAGTAGTACTATATACCAGTATATGATGGCGTGATGCGCTGCTATACAACATAATACATTTCCTTAGCAAATCAACATCATCTAAAATTTAGAGGATATTATTTATGTTATGATACCCAACACCCAATGACGCAATAGCATGATTATCATTCTCAACATTGTCCTAATTCAAGATATGCATTAAGACAAGTGCGGAATCGGCATCTAGGCACTTTTGCTGTCCTGAAGGAACGTTCCAAGCTAATCAAACAACATAAGTAATAAATACTGACTATTTTACCCCATTCATTTTAACTTTTACCCCCACAAAATCTATTTGACTATTTCAAATTTTGTCAGTGAATCTTCATCCTCCAATAGCTATTACTGTTTTTAGAATTTAGCTTATGCATACGTAATGAAGTCTCACTTCGCCTTCATTCGAATGGAATGGAATGGAATGAATGTTTACGGCCCACATTACAAAGATCAAATCAAAAAAGAATGAGCAACTACTATTTTTTGGGAAGAAAAAAGGGGTAAAATTGGAATCAGAATCACCTCAAAAAAACGAACAATTACAGTAAATTTACAATATATATATCAACCCAATAAAAAATAATTTAATTTTTTTAATTATTATTAAACTGAGAAACTTAATTTTCCAATTGGGCCAGTTTTGCAGAAGTATCCCCATTGAGTCAAATTTTCAGATCCATAACTTTGATCAGAACATAAAAGTGTCCGCAATAATTAGAAAAAATCTAAAGTACTTTCATCGTTCTGTAGATTTGGATTTCCGTGATGTTTCCTCGTGCTTGATTCCTACCAAGTTATTGTTCTTGTACGTAATAATGTGGGATCCGATTACAAATAGTACAAGCACTACCATTTGACTGATGAAACTTTCTTGGTTGTTACAGATTCAAACAATCATTTTTTATTTAGTTGGCTTCAATCGTATTACCTAGTGGCCCACTTTTTAGATTACCTAGCGATGCACTAAATACGTTATATGTGAATAATTTTTGTACACAAAAAATAATAAAATATATTAGATATATGCGTATTTAAATTAAACACCATCTCAAATTTATCAAACTTAATTTTTAATTACTCATATTCTATTATAAGATTATAAAAACTTAGTATGTTCCAAAAATTTTTGTTCTAATTATAAAAAAAACATAAAAAACGAAATAGTTATTTGTTTTTTTTTTTTTTGTGATTGAGATTGATTTTTTTGTGATGTTTGAAAATTTAATACCATATCATTTGATTAAGTTTTCACTTATAATTCATTAAATAAAATAAAAGTAATGGTCAATATACTAATTACTTGAAACCTTATTGTAATTAGCAATTAGTTAGGCCAATTAGGATAAGTTTTAATATATTACTCTATAACATATATTATCAACC